AATGCCTTACTGATGAGTCCAGTAGTGGAAGTTGGGACGAAACGCCATAAATACGTGATATTCTTCGCAATATATTAGATTGATTTAAAGATTAACGAAAATTGGCTCATTGCCGTTATCTCAATATATTAGTTGTTCAATAATATAAAAGTAAAATAAAGAATAAAACTTCAGACTCAAAAATAAAATTATATATATTTTATTACGCTATATATAAAACATAAATATTGCATGAGCAGAATCACAATTCTTACCATTAAAAAAAGTAAATAAATATACATAATAATGCGATGTGAGAATAATAATAATTCGCTGTGATTATATTTTCATACTTTGTGGCCACACGCGCATGCTGATCTGTCGGGCCATAAATGTACGTTTCCATTTCCATTGATAGTGAGTATGCCATGTCGCACGCGCGCGCGCGCGCGCGCGAGAGAGAGAGAGAGAGAGAGAGAGAGAGAGAGAGAGAGAGAGAGAGAGAGAGAGAGTTATAATAATTTTTCAATATATTGTCTTAGACAAATTGATCTTTTTCAGATATGTTGTGTATGATATACACTGGAAAGAGTAAATAATACAGTAAAATGCAATAATACGGGTGACCAATTTTGTATATACTATTTATTTAAAATATAAGACTGTTGACATATATATAATATACAGGGTGGGCGAGAATAACCGCCAAATATTTCACGGGTGGGTAGAATAGACTATACTGAGTCGAAAAGTCCTGTACCATTTTGGGATTGCAGCAATAGTTAACGAGATATTAATTTTTAAAGATTGGCAAATACGCGCGTCCGTCCGGCCTACCACACCATTGAGTGTACGCCTACAGAACGCCGCGATGGGCGCGCGGGCCGCGGGAAGCGGACGTTTGGGGGCTAGCGGCGGTGTGCGCGGCGCGGGCGGCGGAGCGCTTGCCAACCATCCCCACTCTTCGCGCGGCTAGCTATCGCGATAGCGAATATTCGGCGCTTCAGAAATTAATATTTTGACTGCGAAAATCGGGAAATGATCGAAATCTTTTTGAGAACTCAATTTAATTCGCTCTAAAGCGTGTACATGCCCGTGTACATACATACAGAAAAATATTATAAATATGAATTGTTTTAAATATTTATTTAAGTGTATTTTAATTGTACCGATAACGTTCATTAATAAGTTAGAGCGGACTAACCTGAGACGAGAAGCCTTTTACCATTGTAATTTTCGCAATAGTTAACAAGATATTAATTACTAAAATATTAATTTTCAAGAATTTTTCACTCAAGTACTATCAACTTTACAGAAAAACAGCAAGAGACAAAAATTGTTTATTTTCTTTTCATAAAGCTCTGGGAATTTTTTCAGAATTTTTTAGTACCGTATTTTCTCATAAAAACAGTTGTTAATAAGAAAATGCAGCACTATAAAAGGTTGATAAAAATTTATGAAAAAATTTTTAGAACTTTATGAAAAGAAAATAAACAATTTTTGTCTCTTGCTGTTTTTCTGTAAAGTTGATAGTACTTGAGTGAAAAATTCTTGAAAATTAATATTTTAGTAATTAATATCTTGTTAACTATTGCGAAAATTACAATGGTAAAAGGCTTTTCGTCTCAGGTTAGTCCGCTCTAACTTATTAATGAACGTTATCGGTACAATTAAAATACACTTAAATAAATATTTAAAACAATTCATATTTATAATATTTTTCTGTATGTATGTACACGGGCATGTACACGCTTTAGAGCGAACTAAATTGAGTTCTCAAAAAGATTTCGATCATTTCCCGATTTTCGCAGTCAAAATATTAATTTCTGAAGCGCCGAATATTAGCTATCGCGATAGATAGCCGCGCGAAGAGTGGGGATGGTTGGCAAGCGCTCCGCCGCCCGTGCCGCGCACACCGCCGCTAGCCCCCAAACGTCCGCTTCCCGCGGCCCGCGCACCCATCGCGGCGTTCTGTAGGCGTACACTCAATGGTGTGGTAGGCCGGACGGACGCGCGTATTTGCCAATCTTTAAAAATTAATATCTCGTTAACTATTGCTGCAATCCCAAAATGGTACAGGACTTTTCGACTCAGTATAGTCTGTTCTACCCACCTGTGAAATATTTGGCGGTTATTCTCGCCCACCCTGTATACATGTAAATAAGTATACGCATGCATGCACATGTTACATAACTATATGTATATACGATATGTATAAACTATTTGACATTTTATTCGCTGGTAAATAAAATTTGTTTTGTTAACTTGTGTCTTTTTCTAATTGGTTTTAATATCTCTTGTATATAAAACTTCGCAAAGAAATGCAATCTTATGTTTATATAACGCTGAACGATTGTTGTTATTAATTTTATTTTATGTAGTATATTTAACATATCAGTATTTTTGCAATGCAAATTTCTAAACAGAGTCATTTAACGCAAATATATTTTTTACTCATGTACTAATTTTTATAGAAAAATTTTTAATGGTTAATTTCGAGAAATTTTTTGTTAAAATTTTTATTTGTTTCTTAATTTCTAAGATGAGTTTATGTACACTTTTAGATGGTCGAATTAAACCTCCATTATTACAATGATCAAAGAATTTAGAAGAACTATCAAAGTGAGCGTAACTATTTTCTGTGTTAATTTCTATTAAGCTTTCCACACAACTATGATAATTAATATATCTTAATTTTCTTGCAATGTATCCGGCAATATAGTAGGTACAACATGTTTTTCTGTAATGGCTTAATATTAATTATAAGATCTGTTTGATCATCTATTTCGGTTTCACTTAGTTCTTCATCGATCCCTTCCATACTGTAAAAATCATCCTTTCTTTTCTTTTTCCATATAAAGTAAAATACGGATTCTACAGGATCATTATCTAATTCTAAACAATTATTATTATTAGAACTAGTTATGTTATTATGTAATAATATCTTTCTCAGAGTGTGTTTAAGTTGCATTGCATTCGGATTATTGTTATAACCATTACAACTTCTTATTTTGGCAAATAGCAGTTCTACCCCAGACAGCACACGGATATCCGATGGATATCCATAGTACATCCTTTATGGATATTGGGATATCACATGGTCTTGCGAAAAATTTGTAGATCAGAATATACTTATATAATGTATTTGGTGCAAATAATAATTCTTCAGATATAGCTAAAATAGACTTAGAAGCTATTATAAACCCATAAATAAATGTTCTCCTGCCAGTTTTTTAAAAAAATTTTCTATTTTTATTTTTTAATAAAAATAAATACTGAATATTTTTTTGGACCATAGTTTGCATGTAATGAAAATTTTGTATTGTTAAAAGTTGTTTATAATTTTTGCCGAATGGATTTCTTGTGTTTGTAGGTAATTGAGATATAAAAAGGACACGAGGGGTGCGTTCCACTTTAGTTCAATCGGATAATTTTTTAAGGCCTCACGGACGAAGTGATATATGATATCTATATGTTTAGTCCTTGAATGATGATTGGGTTGTGTGCCAACTTAGAAGCGCCTTGGTTATCGTTCCATAATATCACCTTCTCTCTCGATTTCAGACCTAGTTCTTTCAAGAAACCAATTAGATGAATAGCCTCTTTTGTAGCATCTCAGATGGCCATATATCAGTCTCAGTTGATGAAAGTGCAACAGTTCTTTGTTTCCTGAATTCCCATGAAATCGCAGCTCCTGCTAGAGTGAAGACTGATCCGGTGAACAACTTTCTGTCAATCTTATCGCCTCCCCAATCCGCATCCACGTAACCGACAAGTCCTTTATCTCTTTCATTTCGTTTGAAAGTGAGACCATAGTTGACAGTTCCTTGCAGATAACGAAGAATTCTTTTTGCTTCGAGCCAATGTTTGCGATTGTAACAATTGTTAAATTGACTCAGCACGTTGACCGCGTGAGTTATGTCTGGACGAGTTGCAACGCTCAGATACATGAGTGCACCGATTAATTCACGGTATGGAACCTCTTCATTCGATTCTTCGATCTCTATATTAGTATCCTTGAGCTTTCCGGCTGTAGGCATGGGCGTGCCTATCGTTTTGCAATTGCTCATTCCAAACTTCTTTAGGATGTCACGTGTGTATCCTGTTTGTGATAAAGTGACCTTTTTCATGCCTTTGAATTTCTATATCCAGACAAAATTTTGCTAATCCAAGATCCTTTATAACGAAATTGCGTGACAGCTCTTCTTTTATCTGTTTTATTCTTCCTGGATTCGTAGACGTGAGTAGAATATTGTCCACATACACAAGAAGGATAGTTAATTCTTTGCCTTGCTTGTCAACGTAGACGCAGGGATCTGCATCAGTGGATCGCAGTCCCAAGTTCGTAAGGACGCTATGAAGTTTTGCATTCCATTGTCTACCAGCTTGACGTAAGCCATATAATGCCTTGTTTAGCTTGCAGACTTTGTTATTTCCAGCTAGATCCGTAATCGTTATCCTTGCCTTCTCAACGAGTTGAGCATTTTTTTTTTCTCGAATGATTCTGTGAAGCATCTCATTTAATAATTCCAATTGTTTCATATAGATCTCAGTGTCTATTTCACCATTTAGGAAGGCAGATGTAACATCGAACTGCTCGATGCGCATGTTATATTTAATAATTTAACTGATAATGCTATCAACATCCTAAATGAACTGAGTCTTGCCACGGGCGCGAAAGTGTCAACGAAATCAATATTTGGTCGCTGAGCAAATCCCTGAGCAACAACCCTGGCTTTACGACGTTTCAAAGATCCATCAGGACCATACTTATTTCGCAGAACAGTCCTGTGTGTGTGCAACCTAAAACTTTTGCTTCTACAGGTTTTTCTACTATTTTCAAAGTGTCGTTTTCAATAAGACTTTTGATTTCCGAATAGATGGCATTTTTCTATTCGTTTTGATCAGGTCCGACGATGGCTTCCTTGAAGGATATTTTCATGGAGTTCATGACGAATTCGGCTTCGTACCAATTTACATTCTTTTCGTCACTAGGAGCAGCTTCATCTTGTGAATCTCTATTTGGTTTTATTTCTATCTTATATTGGAAATTTTTTTGTATCTCTTATAGTTTCGACGATATTCGTTTCGAAAGAAAAAAATCGATTTTTTTCAAAGGAGTGTTTCACCCTCTTATAGTGGAATTCCGCACCAACAGAAAATAGTTTTGTGTTACGGATGAACTACTCTACTTGCACACAAAGTTTCAGCATTTTTTTGTATATACAAAATGGCTGTAAATATTTATAAAGTTGTAAATACTTATAATACATTTATATAACTGTAATTTGTTAATTGCTAATTTCTTTTTTGTGCCAATAAAATTATATTGACTCGCTAAGTCGTCAATAAAGAGTTCTTAATATACGATCTGTTAGAGAAATTACATCACTTCCTCCTAAAGAAGTTAAATAGGAAAACTCTAAGAAAATATTCAGTTTTATAATAAAAAGCATAAATAAAACAGTTATAAGTAGAATAAAATTTATATCTATTTAATATATCATAATATATCTATATTAATAATTTATATTTAATTATCTTTACTTCCATTTATAAGAAACACTATAATAAAATTTGCAAAGCTTAAACCTAAACTACCTAAGAACAAAATAGATTGATTACAGCAGCCCATAATAAAACAAATACTGGCATATGTATTACAGAATAATGTAGAAAATATATACAAAAGGAATATCTTTCTTTTTTCTTTTTGTTTAACTTACCACAGCTAATAAATCGTCATCATTTGCCAAATATTCTTCTAATTTAACAATATGGTTGTTTAACATTAATAGCAATTTTACTGGAAAATCTTCTGATATAAGTCTAGTTAATGATTATGTGTATGATTTTTATTACATATTGCTTTCATTAAATAATTATTTTGATGTTTAATAATCACTAGCAATTGCAATATTTTTTGTAGAGAAACTAAAAAGATATAAGATTTTAATGTATAAAATTACTTATAAAAACAGAAAAACAAATAATAAAAAAACAACTAAACAATTTAAACTACTTAATTCTTTTACTAAACTGTACAGATAGTAGTTAACGATTTAAATACTAAAAATAAATAGTAAAGAATTGTAACTGTTAAATGTAAAACGTACTTAAAAATATAATAATATTAAATATAAATTAAAAATAAAAACGTACCTAATACCTCAGAAGTAGAAGTTAAAGGAAATAGTAGAAGTTAAACTTAATATAAGCAATATTTCT